GTATGAACTAAAATACTTGAAATCTACATAAAAAGAGCAGAATGCAAAATGTATATGACAATGATAAACATAAACCTCTAGAAACCTGAAACTACAGAATTCTTCAGTTTGAGTATTCATATGTCTCTCTCTCTCTCTGTGTGTGTGTGTGTGTGTGTGTGTGTGTTAATCCGAGCAATCACCTTATAGACTACTTCATTTACTCTATTTTCTAACTCAACAGGTCTCAAATGTACCCGTTGTAGAATAGCTGATGTCTCTTTATGAATGAATGAATGATATATAAATAGGTACAACAAAATATTCCTTCCTAGCAGCAAGTAATAATTTAAACAACAGGGCCCGTATTCACGGAACATCTTAAGGCTAAAAGTAACTCGTAACTCGCCGATTTAGGAGAAAATCGTAAAAATAATAAATTTAGTCAGTCCTAAATTTAGGACTCTTAAATTTTTTATCTAAAAGTATTTCACAAAGCATTTTAGCGCTAAAACTAGCTCCTAAATCTGTGAAAGTTTAGGAGTAGTGAAGATGACTCCTAAGTCATTAAGACCAAACCACAAACTATTCCTAAAATGGCTGTTGCTGGCAATCTGCCTCGGAACGTAAACATTTTAGAAATATTTGATGATAATGAGCTTTTATAAAAGGTATCCCCTTCGGTTTTGAAGGTTATCCCAACTCCAAATTTTCCTTTGATTATGTCCTTGTTTTCATTAACCAGTTGGGCAAGAAGTAACAGCTGTGCTTGCGTCCAGTTTGGTTTTCTTTTACGTTTGCATGTCTTACTATCAGCCATGATTATTCTACTCTGTTTATTAAAAGGCTGTTTATATGCATATTCACTAATTATGAGAAGTAGGGCTGCACGATAAATCGCATGCGATATTTAACGCGCATCTTGTCAGTTCTTAGTGGTAAGATAAAATGTTTTGTGAATACGGGCCCTGAAACTACAGAATTCTTCAGTTTGAGTATTCATATGTCTCTCTCTCTCTCTGTGTGTGTGTGTGTGTGTGTGTGTGTGTGTGTTAATCCGAGCAATCACCTTATAGACTACTTCATTTACTCTATTTTCTAACTCAACAGGTCTCAAATGTACCCGTTGTAGAATAGCTGATGTCTCTTTATGAATGAATGGATATTCATGCCAGACAATGTGGAGTGATAAATAGCAGTGGTATTTTACTATAGTACTATAGGCTACATGTTGTGACAGAGGCGAGCAAAGGTAACCTGATGTAACTGTTCGCTTTTTTTCTTTTAGCTTCTCCCAAACACCTTCATCTTCACGTTTTTTGCTTGCCATCACGAGCCCTCTCTCCTTCGCGTCAGTTTCGGTTTATTATAAGCAAAAATAAATTGCATTAGCGCCCCCTTTTGTCAGCAGTCAACGTCACTTAATTTGACACTTTTGCTTTGATGATGAACCAGCAGGCCGACTGCCGTCGAACGGACGGCCGTTCTGGACTTCTCCAGAACGTCCAGATGGCCAGTCCGCCCCTGATTATAGTCCTTCACATCTGCTGCGATCTCAAAATGCTGACCATTTGATAATACGTAGAATATCAAAATCAACTGCGGGCAGCAGATCCTTTTACTATTTAGCGCCCGACGTCTGGAATAATCTACCAAGCATTGTTCGGGAGGCAGACACACTCTATCAGTTTAAATCTAGATTAAAGACCCATCTCTTTAACCTGGCATACACATAACACACTATCACATTTCTATAATTCAAATCCGTTAAAGGATTGTTAGGCTGCATTAATTAGGTCAACTGGAACCAGGAACATTTCACATAACACCCGATGTACTCGTTACATCATAAGAAGAATGGCATCTACGCTACTATTACTCTGTTTCATTCTTATTCTGAGGTCACCGTAACCACCCAGACCCAGTCAGTTTCCAGACCCGATGGCTACCGTAGCCACCCAGAACCAGTCCATATCCAGACTAGATAGTGGATCACCATCTAGAGACGACCTCTACAGCCCTGAATGCCAGCGGAGACCATGCCAACTAGATGAGCCCTACAGACAGATCCCCCGTGAAGACCTCATCAAATAGACGGCGATCGGGACAAGACCACGGGAACCAAACCTCTGCACAAGTCCTCTGCACAACCTGACCTGTGTTGCAGTCTGGAATTAAACCACACCATGCTGATTTTGTCTGGCCAGAGGAGAACTGGCCCACTCAATGAGCCTGGTTTCTCCCAAGGTTTTTTTTTTCCCTCCATTTCTGTCACCGTATAGTTGGGGGACGCTTAATTTCTGGCAATATTGTCGGCTTTATTGCACAGACACTATTGGAAGAGAGCTGAACTGGATGATGACTGTAACACACATTCGTAGATTGGGAAAAAAGGAGGCGGGAACCAGCGAACGTGGGAACCAGCCGTTCCCACGGCTTTCGGCCCTGCCCCACTCGTCACAATGACATCACTGAATCATCAATGAACTGACTTTAACTGAAAAATTGACTGTTTGTTATTGTCCTCTTGCATTATTGATAAACAAACTTTCCTGTTTGACACTGTAAAGCTGCTTGGACATAATCTGTATTGTATAAAGCGCTATAAATAAAGGTGACTTGACTTGACATCTCTTTATCTGTGAATATGTTTAATTTTTGTTAATCTCTGTACATATTTGTGGATCATAATCTATTAATTTGGAATAATGCAGCAAAAATATCTCCATACTTTTAGGTTTCAAAATAGTTTTTTTTAACAAGACATTTGCGGAAAAGCAGAGATATTTTGGGGAGATACCAACCTGCACAGCTCTACCATTAGAGAAAGCGTAATGGTCAACTTGGATAATGTGTGCCTTGATAAGCAATCACATTATAGCACTGAGGTCAGTGAACTGCTGTCAGAGTTGTACCACAGTCATTACCACAGGATACCGCAGAAATGAATGAGAAGTGCCATATCCCAAATCCAACCTTTGGCAAAATTGTCTGTGACTTCTCTTATAAAACAGCGTTTGTTGTTGTTGTTGTTGTAAACTCCAAAGATAGACAATTCAAAATGAATATTTACACCAATGTTCAAGATGTGGTAAGAGTCTTGAAGTCAACCTCTTCCATCTTATCATTGCAGGTCACGGCATAAACAGAAAGTACCTGATATATGACGACACAAATTAAATCAGATAAAATGAATCTGAATCAAGTTCTTTCCCAACTCTTACCTGTCCTCTTAGACGCATGTCCTCCCAACCCCGAATGTTAGCTGTTCTGTGCGGGAAGCCTAGTCCTTTCTCAAAAGGTTGAGTTCCCTGATAATGCCCGTGGATGATCTCAGAATGCCCCATGTCCCGCACTGGTTCAATTAGGGCTTCCTGGGCTAGGCAAGACTGCTTAGAATCACAGTCCACTGTGGCTCGTACTGATGACATCATAGACTCCATTGCCTGCCTAGGCAGGGAGCATTGTAGAGACCCCACTCTGTTCTGGGTTGGTTCTGGGGCAGAGAGCCAACCAGGAGCCCCCTGGTCCTGTAGATAAGACAGGAAGGACCCACCACTTAACCTGAGAAATGAGACAGAAAATTATAAAGATGTAATGACAATGCAGTCAGCAGTAATCACTGTGAGTGGAAGATTATATATTTCTGTTACAAAGAACCACAGACAGTCAGTGAAAAAAGGGTTATTATATAAACAAAGGCAATGCAATTCGTCATTCCCATAAAGACTCTGAAATAATCTGATGAGTGCAGTTTGTGTATTTCCTATTGCAGGGGTGTCCAGTCCTGCTCATGGGAGGAGACTGCCTTGCAGAGTTTAGCTCCAAACTGCTCCAAAACTCCCTGGAAGTTTCTAGTAATCCCGGAGCCCTTGATTAGCAGGTTCAGGTGTGTTTAATTAGGGTTGAAGTTAAACCAGTGCTGTGTTCAAAATTGCCCCCTATACCCTCATACACTATTCCCTACATTAGTCCACTAATATAGTCCAACTGAAGGAGTGAATGAAAATGAGTGAGCAAATTCGGACACTGAGTGCGCTGACAGAGTTGTCACTTTTGCATAGTTTGTGATTGCTGTTTAATAATCATTAGAAAACTTAGCAAACTGGCAGCTCAAGTAGTAATGAAAAGATTTATCTTAAACTCTGTCATGGAAACTAGGATGTATAAACTTTGATGGAACTATTTAATAATCAATTAAAAATAAATACCTACTGTATATTTGCACTATACCTTATATAAATACCTAAGTGCATTATGGGTATTCTCTAGCCGTTAGCTGTGTCCCAATTCAAAGGCTGCATCCTTTGAAGGACTCGGACTTCAAAGGCCACACCTTCGAAGGCCGCGAAGTTTGGATTGAGGGGATGGTCTAGCCTATGAAGGACTGTTCTTGTTACCTAGCCACTGTGACAGATGCTGTTGACGAGCTGAATTTTTTTAAAAAAGTTATATTCAACTGCCTAAAACAAAACAGGGTTCAAAACTTGTCTAAATATGTTCACCATGGTCCATTTTTGTACACAATAAAGTGTATAAACTATATAAAATCGCATCTTGGTAAGATGTAAGTCAACATTTGAACCACATTATCTATATATATATATATATTTTTTTTACATTTGTATCATGAGATACATTGGATTAGAGTAATTATAACCTAATACTTACATTTAAAAGTGTAATTTGGCAATTTCTCTAAAAAAATCTTCTTGTCACTGGCGTGCAATGATTTCTGGGGTAGGTGAGGCCACGAAGTGTCCATCTGTTGTACCCTTCATTCCCCACAAAACAAAGGGTGCATTTGGAGGCCACATTTGAAGGAGCCTTTGAATTGGGACAGCCTTTTTCGCTCGCGTTGACGCAATTGCCCTTCAAATGCGCCCTTCAGAGGAGTTTTAATGGAACTGAACGAGTGCACTTTATAACATCCACTATGGTTTTGGATACCACTACAAATGGCTGTCCCTAATAGTGCCCTATTTAAGGGTATGGGGGCATATTTCAGACACAGCCCAGGGGTGTCTAAACCTGTTCCGGGAGAGCCACTGACTTGCAGAGTTTAGCTCCAACCTTAATTAAACACACCTGAACCAGCTAATCAACGTCTTCAGACTCATTAGAAACTTCCAGAACTTCAAAACCACACTTGACAGTTTGTACTCTGGACAAACACAATGACGCTTACATTTTCAGTCATTTCCTTTGTGACCAGTTTTAAATTAAATACAGATGAGTGTCAAACAAAGACAAACAGAACTATAATTTGCTACTTGCTATTGCTAGTCAGAGGAAATTGGTATAGACAGAGATGTCCAATCCTGCTCCCGCAGGGCCAACTTCCAGCAGAGTTTAGCTCCAGCTCCAATTAAAAAGACCTGAACCAGCTCATCAAGCTCTTCAGAATTACTAGAAACTTCCAGATCATTGTGTTAGAGCAAAATTCTGCAGGAAAGTGTCCCTCCAGGAGCAGGATTGGACACCCCTGGTTTAAACCTTACAACTTTTAAAGAGTTTTTGTCTAATGAAAGTCTTTTGGAAAGATGTTTCATCAGCTAAACAACTGGAATGTTGTTAAATAACAGAACAATTCATTCAACAAACTGTACTTCTATTCCTCACAGCCTGGTATTCATTCCTGTCAAAAATTTAATATGGCACTACCCTGACTAATGTCTGCTTGTAATTTAGGATGACGGGCTGTTCTCATTCTAGAGGCCAAAACTTTTTATAGTAGGAGATCATTAGTCACTAATATTTTCAGTCCATTTTCCCAGAAGAGAAAGACTAAACTCTGTGGCACTATTAAAACATTGCATTCAAAACATTCAAAGCTTGTTTGTTTTCGACCAGCCCCACACAACAATGGCTCAACCAATTACATCAGTCTGGGACAAAACTATCGTAGCATGGAAAGAATTTGGGAAACCTGTTTCACAACAGTTCAGTTTTTTGCAATTCTGTTCAGTGATGCTAGTAGCATGTATATTACATATTTAAAGAGCGGGTCATATGGTTTTTTAAAGTGTCCTAATATTGTGTTGGAGTCCCCTACAACAGGTTTAAATGCATCTAAGGTCAGATAACATTTATACATAGAGTCATTTGTCCATCATTTCGAAACGGTTCGTTCAATTCAGTTTTGAGCGAAATATCCGTAAACCCCTCCCTTCCATAAGCCTACTCTGCTCTGATTGGTCAGCTGGCCAAGCCTGTTGTGATTAGCACAAAGAGGAGCGCTTGAGCAAGTTAGCGAGCTCTACCATCTGTGTTGCCAAGTCCGCGGTTGTTTTTGATGTCGCGGGTTGTAGCGACCCCAATAACGTCATATTTAGGTACCGGAATGCGAATTTACCAGGGGAACCCCGACTGAAAGTGTGTATTTTACACCCCAGAACACGATTTTTAAAGGGGGACCACCCTCGAAACACGATTGGGCTAGTTTTGAGTAGCAATTGGGCAGGTTTTGTTGTGACAACCTGGCAACCCTAGCATGCACCTTTACATAAAACAATAATATAGTGCTCCAATCAGTTCTTAAAATAATGACATAAAAACATTTTGTTTAACACTTATGCAAGCGAATCGTGCCCACAGCTAAAGTTTAGCTGCTAAACTGTAAACACTTAACAAAACAATAATGGTGGATACGTTAGCCGAGTGCTAACGTGACTAACTGATGAAACAATACAGTTTGAAAACCAAAATATG